ACAGCCCGCAAATCGCAGGCTTCAACACTGAGCTATATATTTCATATGTAATTCTAATGCATAACTTCAATACGACCTGGGATGGGCTCCCTGTGGTATATCTTTTCAAAGCGGTGGATGAATTAATATCTTCACGTACAGGTCTGAAATGCCGGGGACGAGCGTGGTGATATGGTCATCGCGCAGATTTTCATCAAGGATGTGGCATTCTCGTGAGTGCTGCTGTAGCTCAACGAAGGTGGACGGCTTGGTGTCCTGCAAGACTTGTTGCTTGAGCTCTTGAAGGGTTTCTTCTGCATTAGATTCCACTGGCGGGGCGTTTCTCGAAGGATTTTATCGGTGACCTGGACAACTTTCACAACCGATTGTGAAGGGTCTATTAATGTAGCATAACTCTTCATGGAAATAAACTTGTTTGGTCTGTTGGGCGATGTGCGGGTGTAGGAACAGTGATCTGGAACTTGGTTGCTGTTTTCGGCGACCATCAATACATTCAACACATTTCGTGGATGGAATAAGCTGTTTCAATATGTACGATGTAACCATGGACATCATCACGCTATACTGGGGAACTGTCGAGCAATTGCAGGATTCTCTTGTCGGGCTCCAGCTCTTTCTCTGGTTTTTCCGCGACATTGGTGCAGTGGTCTGTTGTCGGTGCTGTTATGAGATTATTTTGCAGCAGTGTGCGTAATGCCCATTTAAATTGTTTGTGGTTGGTTTGTTATTCCATCATAATCGACTTCTGATTTTGCTGAAGTATATCTCTATTTGATCCTGTGAGAAGCGGTAAGTAAGAACATAGTCAAATTTATTGTAGTTCCTTTCGAATAGTCTATTAGCTAGAGCAATGATCGATCTTGATGACACTGCAAATCCCAAAATAAATGTTTTTCCGGGACCATTCACCAATTTCTCACCCTCTTGATCTTCTGGATGTTGAAGGTAGCTATTAATCTCATTAAGGTTCTCCTCCAAGTCATCATTATTTTCCAATGTTATTGAACTCTTGTAGTGCCTTCCGAACTTGTTTCTTGAATTCAAAATGTCATAAATATTGTTAAAAATTAATATTCTCAACAAACGGTGAAGTTTCGTCACTGGCTTGAAATTTTGGTATGCCAATTGCCTTCAAATATCTGATACCAGATGCAACCGAGTTGCTTAGTGTCTGTGCTGCCACAGCAACTTTCATCTGTACATTGTGCCAATGAATGTGCTTACTCTTCAATTTATTTCATAGGTGTAAAACATCGTCTTTCTGTGTGTTGTGCAGCTCTGTGATGAGCTGCCAGAATATGGACGGCTGGCCATTGATATAAAATATGCCTTTGTCTCCCAGGCCATTTATGGCTAACTTCAACATGTGGCAAACGTCAAGGATCACATACAGCAGTTTGTTTGGTCTAGATGGGTGTGCAAATGATCCGACAATAGCATTTATGTCGCATCCAACACCTCTAGCTGTCGCTAAATTTTTGTAACAGCCATCAAATAAGACAGCATGTACATCCAAGCCTGCATCGGTTAGTAGGTTGATTGATTCCATTATTATTTGTGTTTGTGTGTTTCATGTCAATCCATTTACCAAAAAGAATTCAATCCGATAGTTCCAAGGTTGTTTCAGGCCAACTGCCATGACGACAAGACCATTCTCTGCTGTTGCATCTTGTTTCTCTGCCATAATCTTCCCATAGTCAACATTCTCGACAAACGTTTTTGTCTGAGCTTCCAAAAGAGCATCCTTCTTTATAGACATTTCTTCAACAAGCAGTACACAATCTTTGTTGTCCTCTTCAAGATTGTCTTGAAGGTGGGTAAAAACTTGATTTTGGAATACAGGTTCACATTCAACAGATGAAGCCCAACATTTTATCGTACTGGGGGATGGAAAGCGGAATGCCTTTCGCACAATCTGATATCACTCTGGGCTATAAAAATGAAATCGAAAATTGTTATATTTTCTCTGTGCAGCGTGTGCCAGCTGACTTTTCTCCATTTTTGCTTCATTTTTAAATATTTCATTTGTCAATCCTCCAAAGTTGGTTGTTAGTGCCTCACTTTAATTGTTCATGTGTCAGATGATCCATTTCTTCAAGCTTCTTGACAATTTTTTTAATCGTCTTTTCTTTCGGGTAAAAATAGCATTAAATTTCTATAAAATCCCTATTCTACATACCTACGAAATGCAATATTTGTTTCATCATTTGATGGCACTCTTCTCTTCGTACAAATTTACGCGGCACAAGAAAGTGGCATATTTTGGCAATTAAAAGGAACGCAAATGAATCTTCTTCAATATTTTTGTCACTCAGAAGCAAAAAACGGAAATCAGACGACTTTAAAGCTCTTAAAAATAGCTGTAAACTTGAGAACGCGCGAAAAATATATGCCTTTAGTAGCAAAAAAATTCCCGCGCTTTTTTTTTGGCCGCTTGTTCCGCCATCTTGGATTGTTTAAAATGTCACGCCTCGCGAGCTAAATCGGCGATCTATACCTCCTATATCAATGTTTTCAACTTGATCCTTTTCTGCTTTCTTGCACACGGGTAAATATTTGCTAGCTTCCAATCATCAGGTCCAACTCCACCTCTAACAGATTTATTTAAATAGCTTAGTTAGTGAAGGTGCGATCTGATGGGCAGTTTCTTTCAAAAGTTTAGGCGAGATGTTATCATGTCCAGTCGCTTTGCTGGTATCAAGCGCTAGAAGAGTTTCCAGAACTTCTTCTGTGGTAATATGTAGATAGTGGTCGGGAAGGAGGCAAATATACATCAGAATCACTGTTTGCGAAAACAGATGAGAAATAGTTGCTGAATGTATCCGCGATGGTAATGGGGGTCGAAGCAGATCGAAAATATGACGAAGCGGTTATATTAGCGTTACCCATCGACAAGGACTTAGGAATGTAGGATTCTTTGTTTGTTAGCTTAAAGATCGATCAAAATCTTTTGGGTTTAGTTGGAAGTTAACATCAAGGGAGGAAGATAAATTTTACGCCTAACCATATTCTTAACGTTAGCTCTTAATTCTCTGAACTTGGTCTTTAATGCAGCAGTCGGATATGTTTTAAGCTTTCGTCGCACAGCTTCCTTTTGCTGCAGCCTAGTCCTAGGCCTTTACTCGGCTAGCTTTGGCAGGTATCTTTGGCAGATGTGGTCAATTTCCGGCTAGCATTTGGTAATTATCGCAATGGTCATTCGCCTCGTAAAGGCCTAGTAGATTTCGCAAGTTCTCAAATTAGCTCCATAACTTCCTGATCCGAAATTGATCAGAAACCAACAACTAAAGCAATTTATACTGTCCAGTAGTTATTACATTAACTATAAAAACATTTTATGACTAAACTAACCTATTATTAGTTTATAAATGTCGCGTTAAATTGAATTAAACATCTTTAAAGGCTTTAAAGTTCCAACAATTTTGTACATACACTGATTTATACTCGAAATAATTCTTTTATTCGCAAGACAATCTACAGTTTTGCTTTGAATAACTATATTTGCGAATCGGGAATGAGGATTTTGAAATTATTGTTAAAGTATTACGGATATACCATTTGTAAATAATGTACGTGTTATACAGTACTGTACGGGCTAATAATATATGTATCCGTTCTATTTAATAGATTGTAATTGCATATTTTACAAACACAAGACTGCTTCTTGCCAAAAATTGAGAAAATATATATTAATATAGTTGTGTATAAGACAAAATTTCATGAAAGATTCTACTTTTGGTATATATTTTGACTCATTTTGTGCTTTCGCTATACCTTGTCAACATAATAATAGTGTTGCTTCCAACTTTATGATAAAAAACCCCGATTTTCTAGACGTGTATACAAATAAAAATAGTATGTTTATACTATAAATGAGTTTATTTTACCTGTATCGGTTTAAATTCGCAGTTAAAATTTTATCAACAGTGGTAAAAAACCTTAATAATGACTCCTTCTGTTCGGTTTTTTCAGATATTAACAACCTCACCCCAGCTTATTGTTCAGCTTTGTTAATAAGAAATTCTTCAACCCGCAGTGGAATGTATTACATCAATCCCCAAGGACTAAGTTCATCGCCATTGGTTCAAGTATACTGTAACATGAGTTTAAGAGATGGCGTTGGTGTTACAGAGATTGGACACGACAATGAATCGCCAACACTCGTGGTCGGATATGAAGGAGCAGGTTCTTACAAACGGAACATCAAATATGCTATTCCTATGGAACATATTATTGCAATTATGAATCTGTCCAAGAATTGTGAGCAGTTTATAAAATATGAATGTCGTGGAAGCGTATTTCGACAAAACGAACGTCATTTTGGTTGGTGGGTATCGCGTCAAGGTTCGAAGATGAATTACTGGGGTGGAGCCGCAGACAACAGCAGTGAATGTGCATGTGGAATGGCCAACACCTGCGCTCGTGGGCGAAAATGTAATTGTGACGTCAATGACTACACATGGCGTGAAGATAGTGGGTACCTGACAGACAAGAATACGCTTCCTGTTACTGAGCTGAGATTTGGTGATACAGGTGACCAAGGAGAGAAAGGATATCATACACTGGGAAAACTCAGATGTTGGGGTTAGGATGGAGGAGAGGACATTCAAGTATAGTGCACATTCTGGACGTTATTTAACAATTATCACCGAGGGCAAGGTGATTACAGGTGACTAATGAAAATTTAGTATAAAATCAGTATTGAAAAATAATAATATACCTGTATACAAACGTTGTAAATATAATTTGCTTCACTCTTCCGCTTTTGAGTCAAATGAATCAAGCTGTCGGAACAGTGTTGGCCGATTTTGTTATTTTCCGATTTTAAATTGCCAAATAAATTGTTTTAG